GTTGGATGATTTATTCGATGCAACAATTGTCTCTTTGAGACCTTTAGACTCCAAATGGATCTCTACATCCAATACCCATGACAAGTAATTCTTGCCGGTAATATCAAGGACTTCAAAGTCGAGATTGGTCAGATTCGACATGATAAAACTATAAAAATAAGCGAAATGAAAAATATAAGTTATAGATAGATTTATAACTTTTCTGATACACAAGATCCATATATATGGCGAGTGTATAGCATACTTAGTTATAATAATTTTTATAATATAATATAAAAGAAAATATATAAATAAATAACAATAAAATTACCTTGAAAAAGCTTCGTGTTGATAACGTGTTTTAAAAATAATAAAACTAAGAATGCAAAAAGATATATGAAGAGGGAGAATCTTTATTCTTTGTTATTCCTTTCTCTTGTTTTTGGTGTGTTTTGAAAATAGTTTATACATGCCTATTTATAGGTTTACAAAAATGTGAAACAACATTTTATGAATTAAATAACAAAAATGTTACAAGAAGAGTAAATATAGACATTCATTATTTTATAAGTTTCTTAACAATGTTTATCATATGAAAAATAAATTTTGTCCCCAGTTAAAAGTTTTGCTAAGTCCGCTAACATATAAATTCAAAACATACTGTATTAACTTCTGTCTGAACTCTTTACCAGATCTGAAGGTTTTACCTAAATAAAAATGATTCCCCAGAGATGGTTGTCTTGTTGTTCCGTCTTCTCTAGCTGTGGATTACACATTTCATCTCGTTCATTATCAGATCCTAATGGGGTATATGGATACACATCGTCATTGGCTAAATCATCATCATCACTGACATATTCAGTTGCATTTATTCTTTCCTCATCACTTACTGTAGTCCCGTCTATAACCAATATCTCAAAACGATCATCATTTACACCATCTATATATCAACCTCATGTAAACCCACAATATTCTCGTGTAACCCCTCATCGTCTACAACATTCTTACGCAAACCCTTGTTCTCATTCCACTCACTTCCTTCATCTATCGAAGATCTCCCAATGAATATCCTTGAATAGGAGGCATCTTCCGATAACTCGTGATCAATGAAAATATCTAATTCTCCTCCTCCTTTTGCAATTTGACACATTTCATAAATACTTCGGTCGATTTTCTGCAATTCCTCAAAAGTTTGATGCGGTAACTTATACCACATTTCATGAATTGGGGCTAATATATTCCTAGACCGTACCAAGTCTTTAAACACAAACCATGATAACTAATCTGAGTCAAATCTAACTCCCTCCTCTACTAACCCACATACATAACATAATTTGTCATCCACACAATCCATCGTTCCACCCATATGGAAGTTAATTGATATATCACTGCATTCATAAATAAGTATAAAAAACATTAGGGTAAAATAAACATTAGTAGCAGATAAAGTACAATTTTTTTATCACAAACAATCATTACCTATTCCTTGTCATCTTGTAGAGAAACCACAACTTATTTCCAGAATCTCAATGAAATCTGCAAATCCCAAACTCTAATAAACAAACATTTCGTCCCAAAATCCCGACAATATACCAACCCAATGATAATGAAAAAACAAAAAATAAACAGTAGAAAACACAAATCAAAAGGAAAGACCAAACCCTAGAATCTCCCCTTCAATCAATCCGAAAATCGAACAAAATACAATACCTCTACACGTGGCTCCGAAACCCTAGAAACTGATTTAGAAATTTTTATTTTAATTTAAATGTCGTTTTGAAAAAAAAACAATTTTAAATTAATCTGGTTTAAATTTGATTCCAAAAAACTGGATGATGTGGCAAATAATATGAGGTGGTGCTTATAATGATGTAGCTCTCATTTATCCATGTGGGATCAACTTAATGACGAATTTGCGCCGTCTGTGTTTATGGTTTGATTTGGGAACAATTATGGAATTCATGATTTAATCTGTCAAATTAAAAATCATGTATTTATGTGGCACATTTTATAAAATTCATGTATTTTCCTGGGATTTTCCCTACTATATATATATAATTCTAGTTCTGTTTTTGTCACAAAATTTTGTTAGCTAAATCGTCGAAGGACTAAATGATGGCATTTTTCTAAAAGATAACAATTAAAACATACATAAACATATCAAAGAATATAGTTTATACATGATCTTATCATTTTTATCATACGATAGCATTTTAATTTAATTCAAATAAACATAGATCTAACAGACTGTCTTTTCATTAAATGTTCTAACATAGAATCTGAGCAGATTAAAAATTCATATAAATTTCCGATTAAAATATTTTCTTTATTTCTAAATTAAATTTGTGATTAAGAAGAGAGAGTCGATGGGTGGTAAAAAGCGTTATAAGGGTTTGAATGTAAATCCCCGAAGTATATAATATATATTAAAAAAAATCCAAAAATATAAATGAGAAGAAATTGGCGTTCAAGACGAAACCAAGATGTCTTGCCTTACAAGGCTACATTTATTATGGGCCAATCAAATAAGCCCAATTAACATCGTGGGCTTGAAGTTACGGCCTAAATTATTTAAACTGGCCCAAATCACTTTGACAACCAATGCAATTATATGGTCCCACAATTTATACATACATATATATATATATATGGATTCCATTACATTGCGTATAATCATGAATCATTGACGCAAAGTCCGAATAAGATATATGATACGAATTCGTGGACATTAGAGTATTGATAAACACAATGATAATGTGTCCGAATATTATATATATATATATATATATATATATATATATATATTTGGATTAAACCGAATATATAATTGTAAAAAAAAATTTGTATACATAAGAGGAGACTAACCGGTGATGGAAAGACTATGGTCCCCGTGAAAATGATAATGAAAAGGAGAGATACCATATGGGGGTCTATCAGTCGATGGTCCTTCACGTTTTTGGTTTACTCACTTTATAAATAAATAAACAATGGATTATTATAAATTTTGGACCACAAACATGTCATATCGACGAAAACCCCACCCACCCCCCCATAAAAAAAAATCATTAGAAAATTCCAAGATTTAAATTAATTTCGTGGGTCCACACTTCCATCTTTTTCTTTTGTTGCCCTCCCTTTAAAAAAAGGAAAATTAAACTAAAGGTAAATTTATATTCCGACTGTTACATTAAAATTTATGGACATGGATCAGAAACGTCGTTCGCTGATCCAATTTGTTGATTATTAAAACTTCGTTCAAACATATTATGTGTATAATGTGATGATATATATAGTAAATCTTTTTGTGAAGTTATATATACTAATATTATAGATATATACGAATATGGGTTATATATGTTGTAAATATATTTTCAAAGATTGGTATATCTCTCTAATAAATAACTAACAAGCCATTAGTTAAGTTCCGTTAATATAACCTCTAAATTCTAATAACAAACAAACTATTCTAGGGCATAAATGAATTTTTTTTATAGATCGAATTATATAATAATCTTTTTCATGTTCAATATGAATATAATATAGTACATTGAGTATTGTTGGACGTGTTCTTAACCCCAAAGAAATGAGACGCAGAAAATCGAGGATTGGATTTTCATAGAAGCATGGTCCCAACTCTCTATGTATTCATAATTATCATACTACGAAGTGACTGACCGATCAGCTCCTTGTATGTTTTGTTTGTAACCTTTTTCGGCCAAAATGGACTTTCTTTGAATTAGAATGATTTTCCATATACGAATTTCTTATGCATATATTAAATATATTTATTGAAAAATAAAATAAAGAAATTAAAAAAGAAAAAAAAAAGGAGAAAAATAAAACAAAGAATACTTTTATTATTGCATTTCTTATTCTTGTTATTTTATAATGAAAATAACTCATCTATTTATAAAAAATAATAACAAAATAATTAAAGAAAAATTTACAAAAAATAATATACGATGAAAACAAATAAATCAAGAGATTATTGACACAATTATCATTATTTGTTAATTGATTTTTTATCTTTAATTTCTCTCAATTATCCTCATAATTATTTTCAATCAACTTCAATCTTTTTAAATATATATGTATTTCTTTATTTCAACAATATTAACAACTATATTATAAATATTTTCAACTGCTAAGAGATGGAGCAAAACTCATTTTCAATCCAAATTTGAATCTTTAATTGGGGAAGGGTATCTACGTGAGGTCATAGGTGAACCTAATTTAGTATAAATGGGGGCACATGTCCCCATTGATCTAATAAACATATGTTAATTTTTTTATAGAAATTTTATAAAATTTTAAATACATTTGCTAAATATCACCATATAAATATTAAAATTAAATTGTGTTCCCTCTCAAATATTTCTCTAGGTCCGCTCATACTTAAGCTTCTCCAATCTTTTAGGAGATTTTAGGAGATATAGTTGGGTCAAAATCCTGATAAATTTTCAGATTATAAAAAAATTCAAACTATATTATTTTCCCTTTTTTTCTCCTTCGGGTTATTAACGTTTCGTAAAAAAAATCTGTTAGTCTCATGGAGCTTCAATGTCTGCACGAGCAAAAAATTCGAACTATCGAATACAAGGATATGCATATATATAGTCTGCAATATATGAAAATTTGTCATCATACATTTTTTTTTTTGAGCTCGTATATATGCGATTTCGAGAGAGTTGCAAAAAGGGTTATAATCAAATAAATCAAAGATGGATGATATATGTATCAAGTTCATGTTTGAAAACTGCTCGTCGAATACACAAACGATACAAATTTACCAAAATGTAAGGGTACAGAAAGAAAAGCAGATTATCTTATATTCAACCAAGATACATATATATATACACATAAGACACTTCACCTTAATTACAAAACATTTCGCCTTAATGATAAATTAAGGTGTACATTGACTAGCTCACGAAAGTAGAAGCAAAACTTTTTTGTTGGTGCAAATCTAAATAAAATCGAAAATATAACTTAAACATGAACTTATAAGATGATGATATACATATATATACATATATATATGTATATAGTGATAAGCTCTTTCTCTATTCAGTAAGCACCGGGAATTGATGAAGCTAGAGCGGAAAGGGAGGCTCTCTTGACGAATCTTCCTTTCATTCGAGGCCTCTTCTCTGCATTTAATTTCCGTACCTCGTACCTTATCTTCTTTGAAAACAACCTCGTCCTTCTCTTCTCTCTGTATCTCGAAACCCTAGCCTCTCTCCCTACGTCTCCCATCGCCATTGTTAACCCCACCCCGCAAATTCCACTCCCGTATTGTCCGCCGTTAACTTCGCCCTGAGAAAACCCACCAAATTATAAGCTCTCTTTGCAAGTCAAACATAGGTTTGTGAACCCTTTTTAGAACATAGAATGCCACTATAAATTCCATACATATATATATATATGTATTTATATATACACACACATACCATAGAAATTGGCCAGGAATCATTCTTGAGATCGAGCTCCGGTGGCTCTCCGGCGGTCCACGGCGGTCCTTGGCCTCCCCACGAGGAAATCACCGATTCGTAATCCAATCTCAACATAAGAATCTTCGTTTTCTTTCCCTTTCCCTTTTCCTCCTCATCATCCTTTATGGTACTACGGCCACTACCACTTGTCTCGTTCTCTCCTTCGCCAGTGTTAAAATTTATCACGTTTTGCTTATCGTCTTCTTCCTCTTCTTCTTCTTCTGCGCATGTCTTGTGTGACTCGTAATCGAAGCTCAGCTCAAATGGCGTCACATCCACGTCACCTCGATCGCATGACAATTCAGTAGTTGTGCCTTCTTTTTCTTCCTCTTCTTCCACTTTCAGTACCATGGAGGAAGATCGTCCGCAACTTAAGGAACCGTAACCTAAACCTAGCTCCTCCATGGCAAAAGATTCAGTCTCTAACCCATGACCTAGCAGAGTCTCGACGTCAGCTGCAAACTCCGCCAGCTCCATGTCGGACGGGAAAAATCCATTCAGACAACTCTCGGCGTTGTCCTGATCGTCGTCTTTGTCTTTTATGTCGGCAAATTTCATACGTACCGGTAACGGAAAACTTGTATTGGATTCCGCCATGGGATGATCAAGAACCGGCACTTGACAAATCAGTTGCTCTTCCTCGTAGTTCTCCGTCTGATCTTCAGCGCTGATCTCCGGAACGAGGTCGTGGAAGATAGCTCGGTGGTTCGTCTTTTTCCTCCCACCGCCGCCACGTGGAGTCCGAGCTTTGCGAGCGAACCCATGGTGCCAGGTGGCGGGCCCAGGAGGAGGAACGGAGCTGGCGGATTTCAAGCGGACCCGCTCGTGCCTGCGAGCCAGAGGGTTGGCGGAATGTACGGAACCGTCACAAACCTGGCAAAGGAAAGCATCGTCGGCGGCGCAGTACCACCTGGCTCGCCTCTTGACGCAGCTGTCGCAAGCCCTAGCGGTCTTGGCCCCGACCGCATTCGACAAACTCTTCATCTTCGTTGATAAGTTTATGCCCTAATCACCATTAACAAAGCGCACAAGGAGAATGTTTAAGTGGTTAATAACTCACAAATTGAGTTGAAGTTCCAAACGAATCTTTTTCGAATTCTGGATCTTTGAGCTGAAAAAAAAAACGGAGAGTGTCTGTTGGGTTTTGATTTTGTTTCTCTCTCTAGAGTTCGTGTTCTTTTTTTTTTTCTGGGGCGTATTTAAAATGGAAAATGTTTGTTGTGGTACCAAACAGAAAATAAAATAAATTCTGTACCTTTAAGCCCTTCTTGTCAGTGTGGATTTGTTAAATTTGATGCACTTTTTGTCTGTGTGGGGTCCAGTTTATGCCTTATCTGAATTCTGATTGGTCGTGTCGAGAAGATGATCCTCCACTTCGTGCTGTGATTGGTCAGCTCTTTCATCATTGGATTTCTCGTGTGGGGTCCACATCACTCTTTATTCCGTTAAATAAATAATTCAATGGCCTTTAGTTTAGGTTTTTAGCAAGAGACTATTCCATGGAAACAATGTCAAACGTCAAAGTTTATCTTTGTAATCTTATTGAAAGGGAATATATATGTCATTATATTATTTATTTGGTAAAGGTTAAATATATTATTTATTCTTAACCAGTGTATTTATTACATATTGTCATTATACTCTCATAGGTACGTTTCGTTATTCGCTTTAAAAAACTATTCGGTTCAATTCTTTCGATTTTATAAAAATATGTATCAATCGATTATTATTTCATAATCGAATCGGTTTCGGTTCGATCTAGTTTTTATTAAGAAAATTCTAGATTTTCTTTACAAATTTTTATTTTTTGAGTTTTTTAAATAATCATTTCGATATCGAAAAATTCAGTTTTCTAAAAAAGTTATCATTGGAGAATTTTTGAAGATTCGTTTTGAGAATAATACCACATTTTTCAATTAGGCACCATTCAATTCTAATTTCATACCGAAACGTCCACCACTACCTACAAAAAAGTCAATGCTGTAATCGCTTTGTATGTGCGCGTGCACTATAGGATGCTCCAGCAAAATTGGATAAAATTAGAGAAAATGTAAAATTTTGAAACTGCGTAATTAATTTTAAATTAAAACGTTTAATTAATCGACCATTTTGTATTAGAATAAGGGAAAAACATACAATATGGATAACTATGATTTCCGGACATCATCCATTTGCAGAAAAATTCAAAACCTACTGCATCAACGTTTCATCAGAGGATAAGAGTATGGGGAGAAATCTTGGCCATATTCATATTCTTGAGAGTGACACTCAAATTATTTCATTAATATTGAAATAATTTACATTCCATAAAAAGAAAAATTATACATTAATTAATGAAAGAAATACAAGTGAACACTTCTCTGTCCATTTGATTTTAAAATTCGCATAATGAACTAGACATTATATGTCAAATTCAATTATATATAATCTAAAATTTGATAACAGATAAACTTCACAGTGAACTCTACAACAAAATTATAGGATTAAGTTACTTTGCAGCAGTCCTACAACCTCAAAATAGAACAAACTTAAATATATACTTACGTTGAATCTTAATTAAAGAATCAATAAAATTTCTTACAATTTACTTATATTTTTAGCAGAATCAGTGAAATTTTTTAAAATAAAGAGAATTTTTTCTGTAAAAAGATTAAAAAAAGTACCTTAGAGAAACCCAGTAATTTTTTTATAAAATAAACACAGAACATAAGAAAATATAAAATTAATTTTACTACTAAATCCTTGAACATGTCCTGAGAGAGATCAATTATTTCAACATTTTGGAATTGGCAATTCATATATATATATATATATAACATCCAATGAAAATTCCTACAACTTGCTTATATTTTTTGGTCATCCTCCTGGCATCTGCTGTACGTGAGGAAATGTCATGTGATACCCGGAAAAAAGAAATTTATTATGTCCAAATTCATCAATGAAATTAATATTTTATTGAATCGGAAAAATAAAAATTCGATTTGGATAACAAAGAACTTGTGGGACATGAGCCCTTGTGGGCCTTAGTTCTTGGCCCAAATTTTAATTAAACGGAAAAAATTGGGCCCAACATTAGAATGAACCCAATAAATAACCCTCTGTTCGGATTTATCATATGGTTCACATAACTTGAAGATTATCATTTTCTATTATTTATATTGGTCAAATAAAGGTTTGGAATCTATATGATGTAGTAGTAGTAAATAAATGATATCGAATCTAGAAATATACTAAATATTCATAAATATTAGGTGATATATATATATATATATATATCAAGCAAGTATTGAAGTAGGATAGATGAGAAATAGACAAGAATAATGAAGGGCCACGTTTGGTTGTCCCATGGGCTTAAATATTGAAAGATTCGTACCCACCAGTCTACCGTTCTTATTTCTTAAACCCATCTACCATATTTATTACATATATAGACACACATTATATTCATGATCGGGTAGGTATCTATTACGTTTGGTTTTTTCTTTTTAATTTTTTTTTATCAATTCATTTATAATGTGTATAATTCTATTATCTATAATTAAATTCCTCATCTATCAAAGGATTTTTTGGTTCCGTTTACGAATTTTTTTCGCAAATTATATATATGTTTTAATTTGATGTTCGTTCTCTTTATTTATTTTTTCATTTGCGCCGTAAGATGTGTAATTACATTTTTTTTTTCATTTCAATGCGTAAAACATATATTTTTTTTCTATGTTACAATGCAAACCAAATTGTATTTGCGCACTTAATCACATCTTTCATGACAACAACTCCGCACATAAATTTTATCTTCGTACCAATAAATTTCGTACTGAAACTCAATTTCTCTAACAAACATTATTTGTATTTGTGCACTTAATCACAACTTTTTTACATTAATAATTTTTGTCACATTTTTAATTATATTCATTTACTTTTTTGCTGTCAACATTATCTTGTCTTATAACAAGCAACCGTTCTCTTTTAATTATTGGTGATTAAAATTCAATCATATTTGATTAATTAAGTATCGTCGAAACTCTCTTTTTTATTGTACCAAAAAAAAATCTCATATGCATTCTAAGAAAATTATATTAATGATTTTCACATTTGTTACCAAACCATCTCGACCGAAACACTTATATATATGTAACATTCAGAAAATATGGGTATATATATATATATATATAAGAAATATATGTATATGTAACCGCACATATATTTGTAGATTTGAACTCAAGATAATTATTACATGTTTCAAATCATATAACATATACGGGTGTTGAATTGGGAGCGGCCATTTCGGATTTCGGTTCGGATTCGATTCGTTTATATTCAGATTCGGTTATTTCACTTATAGAGAAATTATAACCATTCTGTTGGGCCTACGGCCCAAATTTTGCTGAAGAAAGGGACTCAGCCCATTGGTCAACGCGACGTGTTTCGGTGTTATGGTTAATCCCTATCTTGGTTTCATTACGCGGACTGAGCACGTGGCTCGAGGTATGTTCGAGAGAGAGAATAGCAGAAGGGCGATCGAGAGAGATCTTGGAGATGGAGGAGCCTTCGGTGACGCCGGAGCTCGGAGACGGCCAAGGAGAGAGGTGAGGTTGAAGGTGTCGGTAAGTATCTTCTGGTTCTCGGTTGTATCTCAAGGGCTGTCATGTATTTCCGATCTTTTCTTGGGTGAACCTCCGGTGTTTTGTGGAGGTCGCCGGTTGTTGGTTTCCGTTCTGTTCTCTCTAGTGGATTCGCCGGTGCCGTTTCGGCCGAGACGTAGGACTCGTTAAAACTCCGGTGTCGTTTCGTTTCTTGCACATACGAGCGTCGGAGAGAACCGTGAGGGCCGATACACACTTCACAAAGTGGTATCAAAGCCCGGTTTCGATCCAGGAGGTGAAATCGTCGGTCAGGCGAGGTAAGTTACGGTTCTGTGTTTCGGATTTGTCTGTGTGAGCGATTTGATGCTCTGTTGAGGTGTTTCAGTCAAAGACGGAGGCCGATCGACGACGGTGGGAGCAGATCTGAGAGTCTCGGAGTCGCCGGTGGCCAGATCCGTCGAGGTGGAGCATCTGAGAACGAAACTCGGTGGAAGATGATTCGAACCTGGTGAGTCAGGTAAGTTTCTGACTCGATTTCCATTATTCTTCCGCGTTTTCTCCGGTTTTGAGACTGAGTTTCAAAGAAACTCGGTGAACTCGGCGGAGAAAAGTCCGATTCCGGCGAAACTCGGCCCCTGACTCGTTCGACTTAGGGTTTGAGTGAAGGAATTGGGTGAGTCAACCACCGAGTCAACTCGGGTGACTCGGGGGCTAGGGTTTCCGAAATTAGGGTTTCGAATTAAATCCGGTTCAGACCGGTTTAATCGAACTAATTCTCGGTTTAACCCGGTTTTGGGTCAATCGAACCTGGTTCGATTCGATCCAAGTCCGGTTATCGGCGGTCAGTCCAGCTCAGACCCGATTCCATCGGTTCAGACTGGATTCCGGCCGGTTCAGTCCGGCTCAGATCCGGTCCCGGCCGGTTCAGACCGTTTCACTCCGGTTCGGTCAATTCGTTGACCAATCTGGTCAACAGTTGACCGGTTTAGGTCAAATCGGACCGGTTCAGGTCCGGTTTGGGATCAATTGGACCGGTTTAGACCGGTTCAGGTCAATCTAGGTCCGGTTTAGGACTATTGAGCCCGGTTTAGGTCAATTCAGGTCCGGTTTAGGTCAATTGAGTCCGATTTAGGGCAATTCAGACTAGTTTAGGCTGGTTTAAGTCTCGGTTAGGGTCTAATTTGTCTGGGAAGGGCTAGAATTGTTCGGTTCAGACCAATAGGGTCTGATTGGAGGTAATTAAGGCCAGTTTAGACTGGTTTAGGTCTAATGTTAGGGTCTGTTCGTCCAATTAGGCTAGAATTAGACCGTATAGGTCAATTGGGTCTGGTATTTGATAAGATCAGATTGGTTTTAGGCTGGTAGAGGTCTGTTTAGGATCTGATTTATCTGATTAGGGCTTGTATTGGTCGGGTTAGGATCTGATTTTGTGTTTTAGGACTAGATTGGGTCAGTTTTAGGGTCTGGAGTGTATAATTAGGACTAGAACTAACTGGTTTAGGGATAAGATGGTCCAAACTAGGTCTGATGGTGTCTGGTTTAAGGCATAATGGACTGGTTTAGGGTATGTTTAGGTCTGTAGTAATTGGTTTACCCTGTTAGGTTGGATTAGAACTCAATTTGGTTTGGTTTAGTGAAAATTCACTAGGGAAAGACTAGGGAAAGACCTGTTTAGATCTCAGTTCTGCTAAAAAGAGTCATAGATTCCTGTTTACTGTTCAGTATAGGTTTGAATAGGTGGATTTGACTACGTTTAGCTGGGTAAGAGGTCGGGTTAGACTAAAATAGGCTGGTATAGGTCTGAGATTGACTGGTTTAGGTCGGTAAAGGGCTGTTTTAGTTCTTGGTTTAGGTCTGGTTTAGCCAAAATTTGGGTTAGTCTAGCTTAGTCTAGGTCTGATCAGTAGGTAATTAAGTCAAAATAGGCTTGGTTAGGTCTGATTAGAGGTTTAGAATGTCTATAGAGACATTGTCTAGGTCTGATCAGATTAGAATCTGATTGTAGACTTAGGTATTATCTAGTTTAGGACTAGATAGGACTCTTAAATACCAGTTTTGAGTCATAGAGTCCGGTACATTGACCGGTTAGGTCTGATTAGTTGGGATTTGACTAAAACGGATTGGTTTAGGGGTTGGTTATGTCTAGGATCACTAGGTATAAGTCTGTAGGGGTCGGTTTAGATCATGGCAGGTCTGTAGGAGTTGGTTTTAGGCATATATAGGGTCTGATCAGAATTAAATTAGGTTAATTAGGCTTAGTTTAGGTCTGATTAGGGTGCTAAAAGTCTAATCAGGGGTTGGTAAGTCATTATGGTTGGCTTAGGTTTGGTGATTAGGACTTTTAGGTGTCTAATTAGGACTTATGGTCATCTAATCAGGGGTTGGACAATTAGGGTTGGCTTAAGTCTAATTAGGGTGTTGTGGTGGTCTAGTCGGAACTTTTGGTCATCTAACTAGGGCTGTTAGGGTCTAGGTATCACTTGGGTAGGTCTGATTAGGACTTTGTGAGGGACTAGGTAGACTCGGAATCGTAGGACTGGTTAGGACTTTGTTGGGGGCCATGTAGACTCGGTGTTATAGGTCTGATTAGACGTAATCAGGTCTGTGTAGCCTTAAGTTAGGTCTGGTTAGACGTAATCAGGTCTTAAGGTAGGCTGTGTTTCGAGTCTAATAGGTCGGTTAGGCAAAATTATGCCTAGGGTAAGTCCAATCAGGTTTGTGCGAGAGTCTAGGAGGTCGGTTAGGTAGAAATATACCTTGTGTTAAGTCCAATCAGATCTGGTCTAGAGTGTGTTAGATCCGTTTAGGTAAGATGTACCTAGGGAGATGTCCGGTTAGACTTGGTTCAAAGTCCGTTAGATCGGGTTTAGGTTGAGTATCTAGGTTAAGTCCAGTTAGGTCGTGTTCTCTAGGTCTTGTAGGTCTGATTAGGTAGAGACGTACCTAGGTCTTGGACTGATAGACTAGGGTTGGAGCGTGTTTAAGCACGGCTAGGTAGAAATATACCTAGGGTTAAGTCCTCTAGGGTTCGGTCTCATCCCTCGTGTCATGTTACATCACTTCTAGGGTCGGGTAAGTCACTTCCGGGTTGAGTCATTTTTAGGCTCTGGTTGTATCATCGTAGGATGATGGAGTTAGATCGTCTAACTCGGGATACCCCGAAAAGGGGTATGGAGGAAGGACTATGGGTCTCAGGCAAACCCGAGAAATCGGGTGCAGGAGTAGGCCAAGGACCAGGTGGAGTGAGTTGTTCCGCGGGTAGGTAGGGATACTACATGGAGGATTTGTAGATCCCGGATGATGAGGTAGGGAGAGTCCGAGGTAGAAGGACGTGTTGACCTCGGAGGAGTAACCGAAGATGCTTCGGTTCTCGGTGGTAGGTCAGGAGGTGAGGTCTCCACATTTAGGCGGAGCTTCCTCGGGTAGGATGCTCGGGAGATGATGTGAGCAGGGAGGTGTCGGGTATTCACCGAGGTAGAGTCGGTGTAGGTTGGAGCGCTAGGACACTCCCTCTCGAGGTGGAGCACGTGCACTCACGTGTCTCTTATTCTCGGTGGAGCATCGTAGATGACTAGGAGAGTCTTCACGGGACAAAACCGTGGGACAATCTTAGTTGGCAGGTTAGGGTCCGAGGGTAGAAGTCGCATACTCATAGGTAGTATAGACTTCACGGGGATCCAGGCTAGGTATCTAGCGGGTTTCGGTAGTATGACTCAGGTTAGTCTCGGAGGAAGTCGGGATAGACTTAAGAGACGGATAGACGTCTGGTATAATCCTCAGGTTAGCTAGCGGGTATAGTCTTGGACTTTACTAGAAGGGTTAGTTAGACGGTCTAGAGAGTCATATAACCGAGGGTAGCGTTCGCCGGTCGGGCGACACGTGGTAGGACGGTTCGAGTCTTATCGGGGTGAACGTTCTAACATGTTTACCAAGTGTTTCAGGTTTGGATAAAGCTGATCGGTGGCGGATAAGGCGACAAGGCCTTGAGGAGTCATCGGCGGGAGCTTCATCGGGTTCAAGGTGGCACATGACTAATTACGGGACAGGTAAGTCAGGTAAGTCAGGTAAGTATATGCTTTAAATTCCGACGAAAGTCGATCGGTGCCGGAATCGGCGAACCACTAGTTTTTATTGCTTGGTTTTATTTCATGTGTTCGTTCCTTTCTCCACCAAGGTGGAGATTGTTGGGCCTACGGCCCAAATTTTGCTGAAGAAAGGGACTCAGCCCATTGGTCAACGCGACGTGTTTCGGTGTTAGGGTTAATCCCTATCTTGGTTTCATTACGCGCGCGGACTGAGCACGTGGCTCGAGGTATGTCCGAGAGAGAGAATAGCAGAAGGGCGATCGAGAGAGATCTTGGAGATGGAGGAGCCTTCGGCGACGCCGGAGCTCGGAGACGGCCAAGGAGAGAGGTGAGGTTGAAGGTGTCGGTAAGTACCTTCTGGTTCTCGGTTGTATCTCAAGAGCTGTCATGTATTTCCGATCTTTTCTTGGGTGAACCTCCGGTGTTTTGTGGAGGTCGCCGGTTGTTGGTTTCCGTTCTGTTCTCTCTAGTGGATTCGCCGGTGCCGTTCCGGCCGAGACGTAGGCCTGAGGAAACTCGGTAACCGAACTCGTTAAAACTCTGGTGTCGTTTCGTTTCTTGCACATACGAACGTCGGAGAGAACCGTGAGGGCCGATACACACTTCACACATTCGATTTTTATATTAACTTCGCATCAGTTCGCTTCGGTTCAAATTCGCCTTCTATTGGTAAAAAAATTGAATTTTAAAGAAATTATCAGTTTTTAGGTTATTTTTATTCGATTCGGTCTCGGTTTTGGTTTTCTCGAGTTTAGATAAATCATAACCATTCGATTTTTATATCAAATTCGATTCAATTACATTAGATCTTATTCGTTTCGATTATTCGACTAATAACTAAAATGGTCTATCTCTGGTTTGAATACTAATTTTTATAGTTTGTGGGCTGAAAACTGGTTTTTAGGACTGCATATATATATATATATATATGGAAAACCAAAGTACGAGGTGGGACCAAGAGAGGGGTTGGTTTTGGTAAAATTTGAAAAGAAATAACTATAGGTTATAAATGGTACATTAAGGACGAACCACATGCATGGCCTCTTTGCCAACATAAATTTGCTTCGAACTATATGGAATGAAAGCTGTAAAAATTAAATAACCGACCAGGCTGATGCGAAGCTTCGAGTCATCGCTCTCAATTTATGATGCGACGTGACATATAAATGGACCGTGGACTACTCGAAATAGATACATGGACGCACCATATCCAAAACCGACATATTAAAAAGTATAAATCCGATTTATTCTATTTATTTTATATTTTAATTAACAACACAAGATAAAATTTCCACAATTTCACGTTGAATTATTTCAAAAATCCAATCCGTGAAATTAGGGTTTACCCGTATATTTAGCCGGTAACCACGATAATATATATATATATATATATATATATATATATATATATATATAACTACATAACAATGGCGGATAAACGGCGTATGATAAGTAATAGACAGCGACGGTAAAAAATTTTAAAAGAAAGTTTTCCTTTTAAAGTGTGTTATTGATACATCACAAATTACCGCAAGACGAATTAAAAACAGCCCACAAATGAAAGGTAAAAGATAAAATATTTGCAGATGCAAGCACTTTATGCTTTCTTCTCTCTCTCTTGTTTTCTTTTCACACCGGTATATCAAATCCCATGTAAATAAACCGGCCAAACCGAACACAAACTAAATCTAATTCATACCAATTTGATCTAAACCCAACTGAACCGTGTAGCTTCATTCAGAGTTTGACAATCTCAGGGATATAGACGGGGTAGCGGTCGATGGAGTCGGACCACGGACCATCGGTCGGCACTTTGATCGTACGGTTACACTTCCAAACCGCTGAATTACACTTGAAACCGCTCCCAAACGCGATTTGCCAAACGCGATCGCCGTGTCTCATCCGTCCCTTGGCCTCGATATAGCTTAGCTCGTACCAAAGTGACGACGAAGACGTGTTTCCGAATCGGTGAAGCGTCATTCTCGAAGCTTCCACGTGTTCGGCCGAGAGCTGGAGATTCTTCTGAAGCTCGTCTATGACGGCTCTGCCTCCGGCATGGATGCAGAAATGTTCGAACGCGAGCTTGAAATCGGGTATGTACGGTTTCCATTTAGGGTTAAAAATTTTCCGACCGATCAACGATAGCAGGAATAAGATCTGTTCTGATGCCGGCAGGACTAGAGGACCTGTTCACAATGTCCGAAATCGTTTATTTGACGGTTTTTACCACCAGAAAAATAACCAAATCAAACCGAACCAAATTTGGAATAAACCGGTTTAAACCGAACCATATCCGATACCCTTTGGTCTCGAGATTATGAGCCGAATGGACCGACTCTTATAAACTTATATGATATTATATAGAACGGATAAAATTAACCAATATGGTAATTTTACCTAGAGTGGTGATGTTAGACTTTAGGGCTTCACCGGCGATGGCCATGAGGTCTTTGGACAAGTTAATGCCCACGTTTCCGTCCTTGTCCTCTTGCTCGTACACGCAGTAGTACGACTTGTCGTCAGCTCCGCGATGGGTACGGACCACGTGGCACAGCCTGTACTTGGCTCGCCACCGGTCCGAGCGGCGGTTCGAGAGGAGGATTGCGGCGGCGCCCATACGGAAGAGACAGTTGGGTAGAAGCATGGCCCTGTCGTTGCCCTTGTAGTAATTCGGGGTGATGATCTCTGTGCTGACGATAACGGCGTTGGAATTGGGATGAACTTGGAGCAAATCTCGAGCTAGATCGACGGAGATCAAGCCGGCGCTGCAACCCATGCCGGAAAGATTGAAACTTTTGATGTTACTCCTCAACTTGTACTTGTTGATCACCATAGCCGACAGGGAAGGTGTCGGAGAAAACAAAGAGCAGTTCACTATGAGAATGTCGATGTCTCTGGGCTTTAAGCCTGTTTTCTTGAAGAGGTCATCCATGGCGGTGAAAATCACCATCTGGGCTTCTCCTCTCGCAGATTCCATGGTCGGATTAGGAGGGATATAATGTATAGCAGGAGGCAGACACGTCTCTTCTCCAAGACCAGACCGTTCAAGAATCCTCATCTGGAACTCGACGCTCTTGGGATTGTCCTTCAGAATCAATCTCGAAAAGGGGACACGGCACGTGACGGGAGGTTTATAGCAAGCGTAGTCGACGAGGTAAACCGTACGAGGTTTGGACATGAAGTAGACGGTGGAAATGAAGACGATGAGGAAAGCTGAGCAGAGCGTTTGGACAAGATCGAAGTGAAGTGAGTTCCAGACGCTGAGGATCTCCTGGGGGCCCATACGAAGAAGCTCCACGGCTATGGCCGCCATGATCGGGATCAGGAGAAAGCCCAGGAAGTGGTTGACTAGGTATTGGTAACCTAGTTTTACATACTTGAGCTTCACGGAACTAGAGAATTCTGGCAAAGTTGGAGGCATCTTTTTTTTTTTGGAAAATTGTATTTGTTTTTTTATATTATCCTTTCGCTCTGTTCTTGAGTTTTTTTTTTAACTTTTTTTTGGATGATCTGTGGATTTGGGGAAGACGAAGAGAGGAATATAAAGGCGAAGAAGGGGCAGATGAGGAGAATTAATGGAGGGACTAACGTCATTCAACGCTCTCGGTTCACTTTGTATTTAATTTTCTTTAATTTTTTGTTACGTGAACTTTGTTTTCTTCTTTTATTTTTATTTTATTTTCCCCATCGCCTCGATTTCCAGTTGTAACGAAACAAATGCCATTGATGAAACAAATGATAAGGACTGTTCCCTCAGTAATTAATTTCATCTCATCGACCGTCAAAAATTTATAACAAAAAAAAACACACCCTCCACACAACGTGTCAGCCGGAATAAATGTTTGATTTGATCGAGATCAATATGTGTTTAGGGTTTCGATTTCAACGCTCTCGCTCAGTTCGGTAGGAGGAAAACCGTACGATTGCATAACTGCAAAACTAAATGATGAGTCCTCAAAATTTTGATTTCAAACTATATATATATATATATATATATATATATATATATATATATATCAAACAATTTTAGAAAAACATTTGTTTTTGAAAATAATGCATATATAGACGTACGCATTAATCTATAAACCCATCGAGATAATACCACGCAGAGATATTCTTACATATATCTCATAATATGATTTTTTTTTTCTAATTCACCAAATCACCACTATTTACATACATACATGCATACATACACGCATACATACATACATACATAGAAAGGGGAAGAACATTGGAGGATGAAACAGTGGTTGTAAGGTGTTTGACTTAGAAGCTGCAGGCAGACAAATCTGGGGATCCCTTTAATGGAAGATAATAACCATAAGAGATAAGGAGAAGTCAAATACAGTGCAAATCTCTTCTGCTACGATTTTTCGACGTGAATGTTTCTCCTTGTTCCGACATTGGACCCCCCCTTTTTTTTTTTTTTTTTTTTTTTGGGGCTATAACCCCTTTATTTACACTACGTATAAAACAACCTATAAAAATAACTTTGATTTTTTCTATATATATATATATACACATACATAACATGATATTTGTGAAAAAGTTGCAGAGGCCTTTCATGAATATTATTCACAGATCAATAAATTTTGAAACTCTGTAGCGGAATATGTCCTCTTCGGTTATTTATTTCATGGTGGACGACGGGTTATGCATTACTCTCAATTTGCTTAATTAATACATTTTGTTTTGCCCATTTCAAAATAATAATTTCAGTGTTCGTTTCGTCAATACTCTCAACTAAAACATCAGAAATCAGATCTCGTGCCAAAATATGTAATGTGTCAAAACGGTTGGGACTATAGCTTAGTGGCAGTGCATGGATCCCCAATAATGTTTTTGAAGCAGCCCGATTCGAATCTTTTATAAAAAAAAAACTCATGGTTAATGTCTACAATAATATATATATATATACACCCTTAAAACTATATATATATATAGTACTATCCTGATAGAAAATATAAATCGTTGAATAATTTTATCTTCGAATAAACATAAAATTAACCCATTTGAGCCATCGATATAATTGAGTCGAACCAAATTCGAATGGTGAAGCTCCAAACAATTTGGAAATCCGATATTGGTTGAAGGTTAGATTATATTGATAATGGGCTCCTTGATTACGCTTGTATTGTTTTATTTTTCCATGCACAGATTCCTAATTAGGTCAAATATTCCACGTCACCGAAGCGGATGTCTTAAAACTTATATCATACGTATATTAACGTAGATTGTGTATTACCGACCATTTCTGACTTCCTATATTATGCATGGAAGCAAGGTACTACTAATTAATTGTTTTCTAAATTAATTTATGTCTTACCTAAGAATATGATATATTTTTTTTATATCAGTTGAACGCATCAACCTAGGAATCAATTTGCATGGAACTATGATATATTGATTAGATTTAATGCTGCAACTGTAATAGTTAGGGTTTATATGTACTTCTATATATCAATATATTGATCAATTTCAAGGGCCTAAGATTTGCAAAATATTTCGAGACACGTGCGTAGTAAATGTCAAATAATCGTTGATTCGTGTATCAAGGTTGAGATTGTAAATTTTAATTCCTGGACCTCACCTAATCTTCCGTTTGTTTCGAAGCTGTTTTTAATGGAGTCTAATCGGAAACAATAGCAAGCAATATATATATATATATATATATATATAGGGAAATGGGAATATAATCAATATATATCATATTCTGAATATTTTCATATGATTTTCCTTATGAACATGCGTCTAAAAAATATTACATATATTCGTATAAAATGTACACACACATGCATATTGTTTTCCGATCATAGAGGTGCACAATTGCAATAGTTCGTGATACACGTGTCCTCTGTGAATAATCGAAGAGTATATATTCCAACAAGGGAGGAGATGACAAGTGTACAAATTAATTTAAAAAAACATATATATTAAAATGGTAAGGGTAATGAACGTAATTAAAATTAAAATTAAATAAATGGGCAGTCGGACCAACCAGCGGCCAACCACCTAAATATGACGTTTAACGGAAACTATTATATCGAAAGCACAAATCCATACGGTTTCTCAATTTCTCGATCAAATTGTAGGAATTAGTTGCAACTCTCAACTGGTTACAGCTTCGTATTTATTGTATCATATTTATTTATGCTTTTTTATAATAATAATAATAATAATAATAATAATAATAATAATAATAATAATATTTCGATTGTTGTTTCTTGCACTTTATGACTACGGTGACTTGGTAAACCCTCACAATAATGGCATGCCACTCTCTTTTCATATCCTTTTCTCTACCTATAAACTAAAGTGGAATAAATAACTTGCCAAAAATTTCCAAAGTGGTTATGAGATCGATCATTGTAGAAAGTGCTGCCTGATTGAGGTTTATGTATGTTTCTGCGTGTTGATTAGGGGTGGTTTAATCGGGTTTCGATTCTGATTCAGTTTGGTTTTTTTGGTTTTAGAAAAATTATAACCATTCGGTTTTTAAATTGAATTCGGTTCGTTTCGGTTATATTTGATTTGTGTTTGGTTCGATTATGATAAAAAAATACTCATTTTCTTAAAGAAATTTATGATTGTTTCGGTTTTAGAAAAATCATAACTATTCAGTTTTACATCTAATTCGATTTGGGTACGATTATGCGTTATTTGGTTCGATTATTCGTTTATTAACAAAATAAGTCACTCATATTGTTGATATTGGCCAAACAAATTTTAACATTTAATTTCTGTAAAAATTACATATTTTTCGAAATGAAAATATAAAACCACAGGACTATTCTTAAACATATATAGGCGAGCCGAACCATATCCTAAGGGCCACTCTATTAGAAAAATTATGGGGTCTAAGAACTTACAATACCATATATACTATATATATATATATATAGTATATCTTTCTATTGGATAAAATGCCAAATTTTGTTTAATGATAAAAGATAATATTTCTATTAGTTATGCATGGGGACCTCAAAATCATATCAGTCCCAAATGCAATATCGTTTGACAATGAAAATAAAAAATGAATATATAATAACTTTCACGTGTAAAAAAATTACTTTTATGTACAGAATTATCGAGAAACTAGGCGTTCCATAATTATTGAGTAGGTTCATGTTGTGTAGTTGCGAACACGTATACATATATAGCATTTCACTTTTCACGAATAAATGAAAGACTTTTTAAGGCAATATTGTTCAATATTTTTTTGTATGTTGGACATATTTTTCAACCGATATGGAATGGTAAATCTTTATATATATATATAAACAGAAAAAATTCCAAGAAAAACCTTGTACTTTTACTTCGTCGCAATTTAAACCCTATACTTTTTTTTATCCAAAAAAACATTGTACTTTTATAAATAGAAAAATAAAACCCTATACTTTTAAAAATTGACAAATAAAACTATGTACTTTTAAAAATTAGCAAATAAAATCTGATTGGGAAATACATATTTATATATACATATATATGATTTTATACATATAATACATATATATGTGTATAATTATATGTTTTATATGTATGTGTTATATATGTATTTTTTCCTAAAAATCATACATATATATATATATAATGATTTTTAGGAAAAAATACATATATAACACATATATATAAAACATATAATTATACAAATATATATATATATATTATATGTATATATGTGTGTATATATATAAATATGTTTATATATATATATATGTATATCATTTCATTATATATGTATGTGTGATATATATATATATATATATATATATATATGAATTTTAAAATTTTTATTTTTATTAATATTTTTTTTATTTTTTAATATTATTCAATATTAGAGGTTGATGATGTGTCATGTGATTAAGATGTCATGTCATCATTAAATATTATTTTTTTCCGTCGAGAGTTTTATTTTCCAATTTTTAAAAATATAGGGATTAAATTACGACGAGAGAAAAGTACAAGATTTTTATTTGGATTTTTCCTATAGAGCTTACCATTATTGTTGTTGTCGTGATTATCATCGTCGCTGTCATTTTTCAATGCGTTAAGACACTCAACTTGTTAGTAATAATGTCGGCTCGTTTTGTACCGCTGCCTCTAATTGATATGGTAAATAAAAAAAATTGATTTATGTATATCCAACACTAAGATGCAATTTTGTTTTGCACCCATATAGATTGATATATATTGGATTATGCTTATTAAAGAAGTTGAATTACCAATAATTACAAGGGTGTTGACCATATGAAAGATTAAAAGAACGTGTTCATGTTCAACGATTAGAATTTGTTAGGATTTGGTGAAATTTGCGAGGATTCGACACTTGTGACAATGACGACGAGGCATACTTCCCAACCATATCTATTTATTCTCTTTTAATTTCGATTTTGATTATGTTGATGCTAACGTGTATGTATTCGTCGAAATTATATATAGTATTAATGGCTCCCATTATTGTTAATAACGCATGTTTGACCATGCAATAATACCCCAAAAATCGTTCTTCGTCTACTTAGAGGGAATAAATCAGCGTTTAAACTATTTTATCTTTCCAGATTTTATGAAGTTTCACGTTATTCCACATGATAATACATATACATACATACATATATATATCCGACAAAAACATTAGGCATGTATGGCCCATAATTGTTTGGGCCCATATAAAATCGATCGGTCCAAATATTAAAAAGCCCAATTCAGGAGTCAATGTTTGCCCTAATATTTTGGGCTTTTTTCTAGTGGCAATATTTCTTGGGCCCGTCAATGGAGAATACCCCTTTAAATATTTGTTTTTTTTTTCAAAAATTTTTCTTATATTTGTTTTTTTTCAAAAGATTCGTATTCCATTCCTTCAAAAGATTCTTATATTTGTTGGTGGTAAGGGGCTCTATATTATATTTCTCCATTAATTCAAATTACAATATGGACTTAAGCACGTAACGAGTGAAGCACCTATCTTTTTGCTGAGCCAAATAAATAAATAATGTTGCTTTTTTTTCAATGATAAATAAAAAGTGGCACACACACACACACACGTAATATATATATATATATATATATATATATATATATATATA